CCCGGCCTCCAGGGGCACAGAGACGGCCTGGGGACAGAGATGGCAGGGACAGGCGGAATGCCACGGACCAGCCCCGATGTCCTGTCACACCAGAAAGCAAGCAAGAGGTCAGCACAGGCACAAGATGACCTGCCAGCGCAACCCACGCTGCTCAGGAGGCTGAGATCCGAGGATCCAAGTTGGAAGCCAGCCTGGGCAGAAAAGTCCTGAAGAAATGCAGCCCGTGAGGTTGCTGGCGCACAAGGCCTGGCTCCCTTGATAGAGCACCAACCGTGAGAGAAAAAGACAATCGAGTGTGTAAGGCCCGGAGATCAAGCCCCAGGACGGACCAGGACGGACATGAGGAGTAAGGAAATAAACAAAAATAAAACTAGCTGCAGGGCACGGCCGAGGGCGTGGAGCAGATAAAAGCCAGGTGGAATCAAGGGGGGGGGGCCTGAGGAGGGGGAGGGAGGGGGGAGGGAGGGCGAGGGGGCTGGCCTGCGGGGGAGAGGGAGGGGGGAGGGAGGGGGGAGGGAGGGCGAGGGGGCTGGCCTGAGGAGGGAGAGGGAGGGGGGAGGGAGGGGGGAGGGAGGGCGAGGGGGCTGGCCTGAGGAGGGAGAGGGAGGGGGGAGGGAGGGGGGGAGGGAGGGCGAGGGGGCTGGCCTGAGGAGGGAGAGGGAGGGGGGAGGGAGGGCGAGGGGGCTGGCCTGCGGGTGCTCTGCCCCCCCCCTCTCCCCCCCCCCCCCCCCTACCATGCACTCAGCCCTATTTTTTTATTAGTTGTGGGATTTGAACTCTGGCGCTACCCCTCAGCTCTTCAGCTCAGGCAAGCGCTCTACCACTTGAGCCACAGCGCCACTTCTGGTTTTCTGGTGGTTTATTGGAGATAAGAGTCTCTTGGAGTTTCCTGCCTGGGCTGGCTTTGAACAATGATCCTCAGACCTCAGCCTCCTGAGTAGCTAGGATGACAGGCGTGAGCCACTGGCACCCGGCTAGCCCTATTTTTTTTCCTTTTTTTATTTTTCAGCTAGAGCCTCAATGCTTTCTGGGAGTGGTTGGCTTGGCCCCGAGCTTCCTGCCCGGGCCTCCCTCCTGGCTGGGACTGGGCTGTGTGACTTGAACCTGCTCGTCTGTGGAGATGAAGGTCTTGTCAACTTTCGATTGGGTGGGTCTTGAGCTGAGCTCGGATTTCCACCTTCCGAGGAGCTGGGAGCTGCCACGCCCAGCTCGGTCCATTTTTCCTGGTCTACCTGCTCCACCCCACAGCAGCCCTGGCCCTCTGCCTGCGCCCCCTCCAAGGCCAGCTTGAGGTCGCCTCTCCTTCCCCAGCTTGAGTGGCCCTGTGCTCCCCTCACTCTGTAGGGCACACCCAGGAGGCCCTTCCAAGTCAGGGAGGGCTCAGGGATGACACACAGGGGCCCAGTCGGGCCCGGCTGTCTGACCCTTGCCCTCTGACCCTTGCCACAACAGCTTGAGCTCTGGAGTGCCAGCCACTCTGCCGTTCTCAGCCTCCCCTCAGGCCTGGGCTGCTCCGTGGCCCATCTGTACCCAGGCCTTCTGAACGGAGCCTCCCAGGTATCTGCTAAGCTCCAGCCTGGACCGCACTAGTCCACCCTGCCTCCCCCCCCCCCCCCCCCGGCCAGACCTGTCCACTCTGAGGCCTCTCTCCACATGTCTGCCTTCTGACCAGCGGACATCCCTCCCACTCCCTTCTCCGTGTCCCCTGGGCACGTGCCGGGGCTGGCCGCGCCCCCAGCTCACGCATGGCCAGCGTGGAGGGAGGAGCACAGGCCTCCCAGGAGCCCCACAGCCTTGCTAGCCATGGTGGGGGCCGCTGGTGCCCAGCCCCCCTCCCCCCCAGGACTGACCAGACAGAAGCCCCTGAGGAGGGGTCCTAACCCTCCCCCACCCACTCATCTTCTGCCTCGTGCATGCACGCCCCGACGTCTTCCTCTGGCCCCCAGTTCTGTGGGACCCCCTCTGTGTCACCTACTGGTTCTATCCCTGCAGATGGAATTCTCTGGGTCTGTGTCTGGGCCTGGCTCTGGGGCTCTTCTGCACCCCCAAGGCCTGTGCCCTGTTCACTGGAAACAGGAATGGGGTCACGGGACAAGTCTGGGACAGCCCCTCCCCACGCCCTGGCCCAGAGCGGGGTGCAGTGAGGCCTGGCCTTAGGCCTGGTCACAGCCGTCTCCCCTCCCCCCAGCTGACTGGCTCTCCCCAGGAGCGACACAGGCGGAGGTGCTGAGGAGGTTGGCTCTCTGTGGCTAGTGGTTGGTGCTGTCTTCTCCCTGACCTTATCTCCTCCTCCCTAGACTAACAAGATTAGCGCAAGCCGGGCGCCAGTGGCTCACGCCTGTCATCCTAGCCACTCAGGAGGCTGAGATCTGAGGATCATGGTTCAAAGCCAGCTCGGGCAGGAAACTCCATGAAACACTTATCTCCAATAAACCACTAGAAAACCAGAAGTGGTGCTGTGGCTCAAGCGGTAGAGCACTTGCCTTGAGCTGAAGAGCTGAGGGACAGCGCCCAGGCCCAGAGTTCAAGCCCCACAACTGACCAAAAAAAAAAGGATTAGAGCCACCCAAGTGACCTCATTTTACCTTAGTCACTTCTTTATGTCTTTTCTTTAAAAAAAAATTTAGTTTTTGTTATAAAGGTGATGTACAGAGGGGTTAAAGTTACCTATGTCAGATAATGAGCACATTCCTTTTCTTTTGGACAACGTCATCCCTTCATGATCTTTCTTTTATACGAATTACAAAACTAAGTCACACCGCGGGGCTGGCCAGGGGTTTCACCCCTGCTTGTCCTGGGGACAGGGAGGTCTCCCCATCTGAGGCCTGGCAGGGCAGGGCCGTTGGCTGGACGCGTCGGGCAGGGGAGGTGAGGCGCTGGAAGCCTGTGTCATCGAGGTTAGTCTCTCACAGCTAGTCTCTCACGGCACAGAGGCTGGAGACCCGAGGCCTCAGGGTAGGAGGCCGGTGCTGGTTCTGGAGGCTGTTGGGGGCAATCTGTCCAGGGCCTGGTCAGCTAGCTCTACAGTTGCTGGTGATCCTTGTCTGGTAGAAACACCGCCTGACCCCTGCCTGGTCTTCACGTGGCATTCTCCTGGTCTGGCTCATTTCCTCTTTCCGCAAGGACACCGTCATAGTGACCCGGGCCTCTCCTCCCCGGGGGCACCTCATTGCCCAGCTTTCCTCAGAAGACGTGCCATGAGGATGGGGTCAACTCCACCACGTGACAGAAGGGGTCAGCCTCTTCCCCCGCCTGGGCAGACGGGACGGGCACCCTCTCAAGGGCTGGGTGGGGTCTGGCCAGAGCGTGGAGCGGGCAAAGCCTTCCATCTCAGAGGGAGTCGGGAGCGGACCAGGCAGCCATGCCGGGGCTTGAGGTCCTCGCTGCCGCTGCACGTGTGTGCACATGCGTGTGTGCAGAGCCTGAGGGGCTTCGGGAAGCCGGCGGGAAGGCTTCCTGCTTGCGATGCCCTCTCTAGGCCACACTCCCTGCCAGCGGGGAGCGGAGCTGATAACGAAACACGTGGTAGGGTTTCAGGGATCCATGCCTCTGAGGGCCCTGTCCCTCAACCCCGTGGGGGAGAGGGCCACGTCTCCCCTGAGCCCCGAGGGCCTCATTCTAAACACATCTCGCAAGGGCGGCCAGAGAGGGACCTCCCCCTCCAGCGCCCTGACAGACCCAGGGAAGGTCTGGAGGAGACAGGGCTGGGAAGCAACCCGCCGACCAGCAGGAGGACCTGCCCCGAGGCCCCACAATGGGGAAGACATCGCCAAAGCCATGGGGCTCTGCCACGTGCCATGCATGATCCCAACCAAAGAAGGGCTGGGGACCTGAGCGTGCCAGGTTCAAGACTCCCCAAGGGGCTGGCCGGAGGGGAAGCCACTGGGCTCCGGGGTGGGGTGCCCAGGCCCTGGCCCTGCAAGTGTCTCTGCTGGCGGCTTTGTTCCTCCTTTGCGGTGTGTGGGGGTGGGGAGGGGCACCCCATCTTCCTCCTGACCAGTGATGCTTTGTGGGCCCTTCTTCCCTCTCTGAACCCCCGCCCCCCTCCCCTCCTGCCCCTCTTTGTCCTGGCACCTCCGCAAGGCAGCTGCTCAGTTAGGTTTCTGCAACATGGAGACACCTCATACTCTGGCTGGCTGTCACCCTGGCTCTGCCCCTTTGAGGACGGAGCAGCCTTTGCCTCTGCCCCCCAGCATGGACGCTGACCCCTGCCCAGTCAATCCTAGAGCATGAGGCTGGGAGGGGGCTGGCAGAAGCTGGGTGGGCAGGACGGCGGGGGAGGGAGGGCAGCGGGAGGGGGGGCAGTCGCCTTGCAACCTGATGCCCAAGATGTGTCAGATCTAATGGCAGGGGTGCAGGGGGCAGGGGGGGGTCACCAGCCCCAGGCCTGGAGGGCGGGCAGAGCGTTTGTCAGGGTGCTCGCGGCCATGAAGCAGAGGTGATGAGAACGGCACCACCCAGTCCTTCGGGCATCCAGGTGGGCTCAGTGGGCACCTTGTAGACCAGGCCCACTGGTGGGGGTCCTGGCGGGGCTGGGGGCTTGGGTCTCACACTCTCTACACAGCCGTTTAGGCCATGCCCTGCCCCCCCTCACCCTCCGCCCCGTGACAGGTGCCAGCTCCTCCAGCCCCGGGTTTGAATCCTACAAGCGCCTGGGCCACGGCCCCTCAGCCTCTGCACACCAGGGCAAGCCAAAGAGAAAGCACTGTGCCCCCCTCCACCCTCCCGCAGGGCTGTGGGGGCTTCCTGACCCCGCCACCCCGCTCCTGCGATGTAACCTCTGAGCGCAGCTTACTCAACACTTCCTGGCGAGCGGTTGGGGTTTGGGTGACTTCCCCCCCACCCTCACCCCCTCCCCCGCCCCCAGCCTCTTCTCTTTTCTTGTAGCAACAGATTAAAAAACAACATCGACCCCAGGCCCTGATAGGTCCCAAACCTCAACCTGCCACTGAAAGGGGAAGTGAAACCGGTGGGGCGGGGGCTCGGGCCAGCCCAGGGGGAAGTGCCCGGCGCCGGCACGCAGGGTGCGTGTGCACACACACACACACACACACCCTGCCACACGCCTGCACTGCACCCAGCCGCACCCACATCAGGCCCATGGCGGAGGCTGCGGGAGACCTGGGATCCGAGGAGCGGGAGGAGCTGCTGCCCGAAGACTCCGCAGGGTGAGCATCCTTGGCTCCACCTCAGCAAGGCCAGCCCAGGAGCCTGATGGGCGCCGTATCTTGGACCAGAAGAGTGGGAGCCTGGTGTTCTGGGCAGGGCGGGGTGCTGGGACCCCATGCCAGGCCTGTCTGAGGGGCCGCAGGGGAAGGGCTGGCTCTCCAAAGCTTCCCTGTTGGGTGGGGTGCAGTGGAGACCCGTCGTCCTGTGGGCCAGGGGCCGTGGGCTGTGGCGGGATGGGGTGGGAGAGGGACAAGAAGCAAGCAGCAAGGGCCACCTGTCCACCATGGCCAGTGCTCAGGGTGAAGCTGTGCTCTGAGGGGTCACGGAGGGTCTGCCTCGAGGGGGGCCTGGTTGGCGGGCGGCGGGGGCGGCAGGGGTGGCCACGCATGGCTGTCTCCTCAGTTCACTGTAGCCGAGTGAGGCCTGGTCCCCCATGAGCTTGTAGGATCCAAACCCAGGGCCGGGAGGGGCTGAGGGCTGTCCCGTGGAGGTGCTGGTGGGGGAGCATGGAGCCCCAATGAGCAGGCGGGTCTGGAGCGGCCCCTGCCCCCTCCTACAACCACCTCCCTCCCCACCCAGCGGCCCTGGTCCCTAAGCTGTGCACTTGGGCCCTCTTGGAGGAGGGAGACTCATCTGCAGGCGTCAGGGCCAGACTGGATCTCAGAAGGAGGCCGTGCACGCTGGGGTACAGGCAGGGCCTCGCGGGGTGAGAGGGAGACTGGGGCACTCCCCGGCGAGGGCAGCCCAGGCCCAGGACAGAGCTCTGCAGCCACGAGGTGCCGCAGGAAGAAAGCGAACCGGGGTGAGAAGTGGGCGAGAGACACTGCGGCAAAGGGGCCGCAGGGATCCTGTGAACGGCTCCTGCCATGTCCCAGGCCCTGCGTCCTGGCGGAGCGGATGCCTGCCCCGGCTCCCGGGCAGGGGCAGGGGGGGAAGGGGCAGGGGGCAGGGGCAGGGGCAGGGGGCAGAGGGCATGGGCAGGGGGGAGGGGGCATGGGCAGGGGGCAGGGGGCATGGGCAGGGGGCAGGGGACAGGGGCAGGGGGCAGGGGGCAGGGGGCAGGGGCAGGGGGGGAGGGGGCAGGGGGCAGGGGCAGGGGGCAGGGGCAGGGGGCAGGGGGCAGGGGGCAGGGGGCAGGGGCAGGGGGCAGGGGGCAGGGGGCAGGGGCAGGGGGGGAGGGGGCAGGGGGCAGGGGGCATGGGCAGTGGGCAGGGGGCAGGGGGCAGGGGCAGGGGGCAGGGGGCATGGGCAGTGGGCAGGGGGCAGGGGGCAGGGGGCAGGGGGGCAGGGGGGCAGGGACAGGGGGGAGGGGGCAGGGGGCAGGGGCAGGGGGCAGGGACAGGGGGGAGGGGGCAGGGGGCAGGGGCAGGGGGCAGGGGCAGGGGGCAGGGGCAGGGGCAGGGGCAGGGGGCAGGGGCAGGGGCAGGGGGCAGGGGCAGGGGGGAAGGGGGCAGGGGACAGGGGGCATGGGCAGGGGGCAGGGATGCCCGGCCAGGAAGATGCTTTCCTGTCACAACGCACGCACGGAGGCCTCTCTGTGAAGGGACGAGGGCACGGAGGAAAAACAGGCACGCTGGGACTGGCCGGGGTCTGGGCCTTCGGGGCCACGCTGTCCTCCGAGGGGATCCTGGGCGTGGGGGGCACAGGACGTGTGTGAGGTCGAGGAGGGCCGCGAGGAGCCAGGCCTGTGCCAGGGCAGGACACAAGCTGCTGGTCCATGGGGAAGGACGGGCAGGCGACAGCTGCTCCCAGTGTCCTGGTGCGGGCGGCGCCCCAGCCCTGCCCTGGGCACTCGCCCCCATGCCCTTAGAAGGGCACGGCGAGGCCTGACTGCTCCTCGGCCCTTCCTTGGCGCCCCCCCCCCCCGCTCCCCCCAGCTGTCGGGCATGGCCAAGGCTGCTGCGATCCGGCGGCACGGCTGACCCTCAGGCATCCTGGTGCAGTTCGGGGAGGGCGGGGCTGGGGGGGCACCTGTGCCCGTCCATCAGAAACGCCTGCTGGCAGTGCACTGGATACTCCTTGGGCCCCAGGAGGATTGAAGGCCCTCCCCCCCCCAGGACGTCCTGCTCACTGCATCCCGAGGGAGCGCGTGGTGCTCACCTTTCAGAATGAAACCGAGACACAGGGCAGGGCTCCCCCTTTCCACGCCAACTCAGGGAACAGGGGACTGTCCACCCAGGGAGAAGTCCCTGATGCCCTGGGGGAAGTGCAGGGCCTGGGAAGCCCCCAGAGCGGCCCGGGCGCCCAAGGGGAGGTGCAGGGCCTGGGAAGCCCCCAGAGGGTCCCCGACACCCAGGGGGAGGTGCAGGGCCTGGGAAGCCCCCAGAGGGTCCCCGACACCCAGGGGGAGGTGCAGGGCCTGGGAAGCCCCCCAGGGGTCCCTGGGAGGACAGCCCCACCCGGGCAGAGACTTCCTATGCCACGTAGACCAGGACACTGGGGCGCTGTAGCGAGGATCTCAGAACACACAGGAGCCCCCGGCTCCCCGTCCCCCTCAGCCCTGCCCAGCCCGGGGCTCCTGGCTGCCAGCTGCCTCCCAGGGGAGGCGCTGTGTCCCTGCTCAGATGCTCAGCCGCAGAGGCCCCTGCACAGGCCTCTGTCCTTTGGGGACAGAGCATAGCTCTGGCACAGGCTGGGCGCGGCTTTGCCTGAGACTCTGAGTGAAGTCTACAGTGCAAACCCTGTCTGTGGACTCCCCTTCCTTCCACGAGGGACTGAGTCCTGGTGCCTGGGGGGGGCGGGGTTACTGGGGAGGGAGGCTGGGCAGACTCTTGCACGCGCCGCGTGATCTAGCGCCACCCCGGCCAGGACCCCCGACCCCACGGCTCCAGGTGGCACTGGGATGGTTTGGGGACAGGTGGCCCAGCACGGGCGGTGCTGGCCAGGTGGCGTGCTAAGTCTCCCTCTCCTCTGGCCCCGGCAGGCAGCCTCTGCCTCGGCTTCCCCAGAACTTGGCCTGGGGCCTCGTCTTTGTGGAGCGCTTACTTGGGGGCAGCAGGCTGGAGAGGGCTCCGGCGGGCTCCAGGGGCACACCCTGCACCCGCGGCCACTGCTTCCTGGGGCTGGTGAGGAGGCTTGCCCCACTGGGGCCTCAGTTTCCCCATCTCCATTCTCTGTGGGCTGGGCCCTTGCCGGCTTTCTAAGCTGGGGGCCGGGAGGGGAAACTCCAGGGAAGCCGGCCCAGAGCCCGCTGGTGTGCGGTGGATTTGCCTCCTTGCTCTGGAGAGGCAGAGCCAGCCCCTGTGAGCTCGGGTGGCTGCCGGGACCCGGGGGGCCGGGGGGCAGACTGTGCTGGGCTGTCTCTCATGAGCCTGTCCGCAGTAACTCCCAGAGGACACTCACCCTGTGTTCTTCGTGGGGTTTGGGGGGGTGCCCCTGGGAGCCAGCAGAAGGGGGTGTGGCTCTGGCCTCCTGGCACTCCCTCTGTGGGGAAGTGGGCCTCGGGGCTCCCAGCTGACCCGAGGTGGGCAGAGTCAGGGCCTGTCTGGAGGGAACTGGACGGTGGTGGCCCCGGGAGCGTCCAGAGTCCTTTTGTCAGGATCAGGTTCTTTCCAGCCTGGCTTGTGCCCCTCATACCTGGGGGCACCCGAGGGGCGACGTTGAGTGTAGGCAGTCAGTGGACGGAGCCTTGGCCAGGGGAGGTGGGTGGGACACAAAACCCCTGGCCCTTTGGGGCCAGTGCAGGCCTGCCTGAGCTCCATGGGCTGACCTCCTCCACGCTGGGAAGTGGGCGAGCGGTCAGGGAGGGAGGACCGAGCCCCAGGGAAGGTCAGGCAGGATGCCCGCCCCCAGGTCCTTCTTGAGACGGGATTGGCCGTTAGGTATGGAGACAGACATAGGTACACACATACACATGTATGTACACACATACATACACACATGTGCGCACACACACACACACAAGACAATTGACGTTTCTGGGAGACCCTGTCTGCCTGGGTAGGTTGAGCTCTCTCTCTCTCTCTCTCTCTCTCTCTCAACTCCTTCCTTCCCTCTCCCTTTTCTTTCAGACTCAGTCAGTTATCCAGGGGATTTCACTTGAACATGTCACTTATGTAGATGCTACCTCAGAGCAGGGTGAGTTCCACACTCCTCTCCCCCGAGCCGAGAGAGTTTTATACTCTTCTCCCCCCAGAGCGGCAGCGTTGCCAGCGGCCAGGGGTGAAGACTGGGCAATGGGGGCCCCTTCCTGGGCAGAGGGTCCGCAGATGCCACCCAGGGGGAGCAGAGCCCTCCTCCCCGCTTATTGCTCCTTCCTGGATGTGACATGCTTTCCTGAAGGCAGACAGGACACCTCCCTTCCTGCCCAGTCAGCCTCTGTGCCCTGCTTCTCTCCCTGCTCTGGCATTCCTTCCTCCTCCACCGCCAGCTCCTCTTCCTCCTCCAGGCGCCAGTGGGACTTGAGACAGAGGGAGATAGCCAGTTCATTCAAGAAGAATCTGGGAAGAAGCCCTTGAGAGCTGGCCCCAGCCACAACCCAAAATGGGGCTTCATCACGAACACCGCCGCCCTTGCCACAGCCTTGGTTTTGGCTCACTTGACCTTCGTAAGCATGTGGGACATTCAGAGTTCACCCACTCTGAATCAGACATGTCTCTGTCAGAAGCCACAGAGCCTCTCTGGCCTCCTCCACCCACCACTCACTGTGCCTTTCCCTAGATGCTGCTCTGTTCACAAGCTTGTAGAGAAAAACCATAAATAAATTCATGAAGGGATGGATGGGCAAATTGATGGATTGATAGATGGATAGGTGGCTGGCTGGCTGGATAGATGGATAGATGGATGGATGGGTATGTGGATGGATGGATGGATAGGTGGGTGGATGGATGGATGAATGGATAGATAGGTAGATGAGTAGACATATCAATGGACAGATTGATGGATAGATGGATGGGTAGGTGGATGGATAGATGGATGGAAGAGATGGATGGGTAGATAGATATATACCAATGGATAGAGGAAAAATAGATGGATAGTTCATTGGTTGGTTGGTAAGTAA